TTTTTTTTTTTTTTTTTTGCCAGAGGGCATGTGTGCCCACCAAAGACAGAAAGAGAGAGAGAGGGAGAACACATCCCCGCGTGAGGTGTGGTCCCTGCCCATTAATCCCGTCAGGAATTTGAGCATACACGCACATGCGCCTGGCATGTTTCTCAGCTGTCGGAGATGGCATTCAAACCACAGGGTCCCCGTAGCCACCGGGTCATGAGGCCAGCCCTCGTATTTTTAAAAATCAAGTAAAAATTCCCCTCGATATTAAGAGCCATAGAATAAAAATGAAAAGTCTTTTTTTTTAGATATTTTTGCCATAGGGCCCGTGTACTTGCTGGAGACAGACAGAAAGCAAGAAGTCACCCCCCAGGGGATGTCCACACCACAATCCCTTCTCCTCCATTCTCCTCTCGGGATCTTGGGCACGCATGCACACGCGCCCGGCGTGAGTCTTAAGCCGCCGGGTCCGGGACTCGAACTGCAGTCGGCTATGTGGTAGTCCAGCGACATAGCCATTACACTAACTGCTGCTCGTGTGAAGTCATCTTTATCCACCCTTCCTCCTGTTACCCGTTTTCTGCTTCCGTACCTCTTCCCCAACGGTTGGGGGAAGTATCTTCCAGATATTTCGCTCCTAAGATTTCCCATTAAAGTTACATGTGGCTTTCATCGGTCCTTCAGGTCTCTTTTTCAGTATAATGAATAGAGTTGTAAGAGTTAAGTGAAACACAAGCGTATCTAGAGGCCTCCGTTCGGGAGCTGTGCTTCTGATGGTCCTAAGATTGCATTTACCACCTCATCCTTCTCCATGGGGTTTTTCCTGGAAGTGGTCAGCGCAAACACATTATCGTAGCTAAACCACTCTCCCTCGGAACACACAGCATTATAAAGCCCCTGCATGGACCGGCAGGCTGTAATGGCTTTGTTGCTGGACTCGCACACAGTCGGCGGCAGTTCGAATCCTGGATCCGGTGGCTTAAAACTTAGGCTGGGTGTGCGTGCGTGCCCAAAATCCCGAGAGGAGAATGGAGGAGAAGGGATTGCAGCGTGACCATCTCCCCCTGGGGGATGATTTCTCGCTTTCTGTCTCTCTGTCTCTCTCTGTCTGTCTGGCGAGCGCACGCGCCCTATAGGAAAAAAAAACTCTTAAAAAAATAACAAAACAAAACACCCCTGCAAAAGTGCCATGTGATAGCCTTAAATTAGTTTTTCAAGTCTTTGCTTTCGAACTGCAGTCGGCTGTGTGGTAGTCCAGCGACATAGCCATTACACTAACTGCTGCTCGTGTGAAGTCATCTTTATCCACCCTTCCTCCTGTTACCCGTTTTCTGCTTCCGTACCTCTTCCCCAACGGTTGGGGGAAGTATCTTCCAGATATTTCGCTCCTAAGATTTCCCATTAAAGTTACATGTGGCTTTCATCGGTCCTTCAGGTCTCTTTTTCAGTATAATGAATAGAGTTGTAAGAGTTAAGTGAAACACAAGCGTATCTAGAGGCCTCCGTTCGGGAGCTGTGCTTCTGATGGTCCTAAGATTGCATTTACCACCTCATCCTTCTCCATGGGGTTTTTCCTGGAAGTGGTCAGCGCAAACACATTATCGTAGCTAAACCACTCTCCCTCGGAACACACAGCATTATAAAGCCCCTGCATGGACCGGCAGGCTGTAATGGCTTTGTTGCTGGACTCGCACACAGTCGGCGGCAGTTCGAATCCTGGATCCGGTGGCTTAAAACTTAGGCTGGGTGTGCGTGCGTGCCCAAAATCCCGAGAGGAGAATGGAGGAGAAGGGATTGCAGCGTGACCATCTCCCCCTGGGGGATGATTTCTCGCTTTCTGTCTCTCTGTCTCTCTCTGTCTGTCTGGCGAGCGCACGCGCCCTATAGGAAAAAAAAACTCTTAAAAAAATAACAAAACAAAACACCCCTGCAAAAGTGCCATGTGATAGCCTTAAATTAGTTTTTCAAGTCTTTGCTTTTTTTTTTTTTTTTTTTTAATTGACTGCTAGTGTTTCATGAGCTTCCCCCTCTTCCCCCTCTCCTCCTTTGCTATTGGGTGTGTCCGTATAAAGGAAACTGAGAAAGCAACCCCAGGGGGATGGCAGCTCTTCTCCATTCTGCTCTTGGGGTTTTGGACACACATGTCTTTGCCAAGTCACATCCTGGACTTGAACTGTGGGTGGCCGCGTGGAATCGGCTGCCTTAACCACCACACCCCGGCTGGCCTCCTAGCGTCCACACTGGCTCTTCTCGGCCGTCTGCCCCGCTTCTGTGGATTTCGAAGTGCAAGACTCCTCATCTCATCTCTTCTCTTCTCATTCCCTCCAGCCTCTGCGGCTTAATTAAAGAGAGAGATGTTTGCTATAGGGCGCATGTGATCGCCAGAGAAACAGACAGTGAGAGGTCACACCCTGGGGGGATGGCCAGCCACAGCCTCTTCTCCTCCATTTTCCTCTTGGGATTCTGGGCATGCATTCTTAAGAGGTTTTTACCTTAGGGTGCATGCGCTCCCGTGGGGGGTGGGGGAGACAGAGAGAGGGAGAGTGAGAAGTCACGCCCATGAGGTGGCCGCTCTGCAATCCTTTCTCCTCTGTCCTCCTCCTGGGATTGTGGGCGCACGCATGCACAGGTGCCTAGCACAAGTTTCAAGGCAGTGGGTCCATCCAGGACTCAAACCATGGTCACCCGGGTGGGAGTCCGGCAACGTAACCGCTATGCCATCTGCTGGGTCCCTAGCTTCTGTAGCTTTAAGAGCATCTCCAGTGGGCCCTGCCTGATGTCACAGAGCCGGCTTCCCGCCTGTCCTGTGGGTCTCACCTGCGTTCAGGGCTCTGTTCTTTCCGAGCACACCTTAGTATCTAAGAGCATGGGCATTCATGTAGCTATTCTTTCTTTTTCCTTTTTTCTTAAGAAGTATTTATTTAATTCCATTTGCTTTTGCTTTATTTTTTAAATTTAACCAGAGAGAGAGAGAGAGAGAGAGAGAGCGCGCAAGAAAGCAAGCTGTCAGGTCCAGGACTTGAACTGCAGTTGGCCACGTGGGAGTCCGGCACCCTTAACCACCACGCCACCTGCCAGCCCCTCGTGTGGCTTTTCCGATAAACGTCTCTCTTGGGCAGCTGCCTGAGTCGGACGAGGTTTCTGCTCACCTCTTATCAGCGTGTGTGCGTCTCATTGAATGAACTCTCCAAGAGAACTCGTTGAACGAGCAACTTGATGTTCATTATTTTTTTAGAGCCGAGGAGTGTGTAGGAAGGGAGTTGGCAGTACCAGACCTTGGCGACCTGACGATTTGCTCTTCAGCTGTAACTAAAACAAGCCATCTGGGACTGCATCAGTGCTTCGTCTTCAGTTCTGGTTGGGATCCTTAGACTTTTTTTTTTTTTTTTTGAGAAGTTTTTGCCATAGGGCGTGTGTGCTCACCAGAAAGACAGAGACAGAAAGTGAGAAATCACCCCCCAGGGGGGATGGCCACGCCGCAATCCCTTCTCCTCCATTCTCCTCTCGGGATCTTGGGCACGCACGCACACACGCCCGGCGTGAGTTTAAGCCACCGGGTCCGGGACTCGAACTACGGTCGACTACATGGGAGTCCAGTGGCATAGCCATTATGCTAACTGCTGGTTGGATCCTTAGGCTTTGCAACACCCATGGCCTAGGCTTCCTTTAAAAGGAAGCAGAGAGCTCAAGAAGATGAAGCGACCGCGGGTGACTCAGTGAACGGATATGTGGCTTAATTCCTTCCTTCCTTCCTTCCTTCCTTCCTTCTGTTCTTTCTTTCTTAAAGCTTTTTGGCATAGGGCACATGCGTTCACTGGAGAGAGAGACAGAGAGAGGGAAAGTGAGAAATCACCCCCTTGGGGTATGGCCACACTGCAATCCCTTCTCTATTCTCAGGAATTTGGGCATGCGCGTACATGTGCCTAGCGTGATTTTTTTCAAAGCTGCCGGGTCCAGGACTCAAACCAGGGTTAGCCACATGGGAGTCCAGCACAGTAACCACTACGCCACCTGCTGGTCCCAATATGTAAACCTCTTTCCTTTTCTTTTTTCTTTTTTTTTTCAAGAGTGATTTTTGCTCTAGGGCATAAGCGCTTGATGGAGAGACAGAGACAAGAGAGACAGGGAGACATTCTACCTGGGAGGGATGGCCACACCACAGTCCCTTCTCTTCCAGTCTCCTTCCGGGATTTTGGGCACGCACGCATACGTACCCAGTGTGAGTTCGAAGCCACCGGGTCCGGGACTCGAACCGTGGTCGATTATGTGGGAGTCCAGCGACGTAACCATCACGCCGTCTGCTGGTCCCCGATAGGTGAATTTCGGAGTACCCGTGGGAAATCAGCTCTTCTCTAAGTGATGTCTGTTTGCATTCCAGAACGTGGGCCAAGACGATCCCTGGGAAGGTGGAATTCTTCTCCAGCGAGGGCTCAGACACGTCCATCCCGATCCCGGTCGTGCCCCTGCGGGGCGTGGACGACTCCTACCCGCCCCAGAAGAAGTCCTTCATGATGCTCAAGTACATGCACGACCACTACCTGGACAAGTACGAGTGGTTCATGAGGGCGGACGACGACGTTTACATCAAGGGCGACCGCCTGGAGAGCTTCCTGCGGAGCCTCAACAGCAGCGAGCCCCTGTTCCTGGGGCAGACGGGGCTGGGCACCACGGAGGAGATGGGCAAGCTGGCCCTGGAGCCCGGCGAGAACTTCTGCATGGGCGGGCCGGGCGTGATCCTGAGCCGCGAGGTGCTGCGGAGGATGGTGCCGCACATCGGCAAGTGTCTGCGGGAGATGTACACCACCCACGAGGACGTGGAGGTGGGGCGCTGTGTCCGGAGGTTCGCGGGCGTGCAGTGTGTCTGGTCCTACGAGGTAAGGACCGGGGCCTTTCCGTCGGCGTGTCTCGGCTTTCACTTGCTTCGATCCTTATTTATATTTCACGGTCGTATATCTTGGTGGAGGATGGCGTGGGTTTCCAGGGAACGCAGGCACCGTGTGATAATCAAAGGTGTTATCATAGTTTTCATCTTTTCCTTTTTTTTTTTTTTTTTTGAGAGGTTTTTGCTATAGGGCACGTGTGCTCACCAGACAGACAGAGAGACAGAGAGACAGAAAGCGAGAAATCACCCCCCAGGGGGGATGGTCATGCCGCAATCCCTTCTCCTCCATTCTCCTCTAGGGATCTTGGGCATGCACGCACACGCGCCCAGCGTGAGTTTAAGCCACCGGGTCCGGGACGCGAACCGCGGTCCTTTTCCTTTATAAAATTTCTGCCGCAGGGCACTTGCACTCACTGGAGAGAGAAGGAAAGTGAGGAATCGTCTCTCCGGGCGGTGACCACCCGCAGTCCCTTCTCCTCCATTCTCTCTTCTTTTTTTAAGAGAGAGGTTTTTGTTATAGGGCGCGTGCACTGGTTGGAGAGACAGAGAGCAAGAACTCACTCCCCCAGGAGAGATGGCCATGCCGCAATCCCTCCCCCTCTGTTCTCCCCTTGAGATTCTAGAAAGGCATGCACACACGCCAGATGTGAGTTTTAAGCCACTGGGTCCACAGCTCGAACTGCTGTTGACTACATGGGAGTCCAGTGACGTAACCATTACACCATCTGCTCATCCTACCCTGTGTGATTTCATTTTTCTTTTTTCTTGAAGACTTATTTATTTCAGATTTTATTTATTATCATTTTGACCAGAGAGAGACAGGCAAAGAGAAAGGGAGAGTGAGAAAGCAAGCCACCAGGTCTGGGACTCGAACCGCGGTCAGCCATGTGGAAGTCCAGCACCTCAACCACCATGCCACCTGGCAGCCCCCTCGGTGTAATCTTCAAGCTACCAGATCTGGGACTCGAACCATGGAGTTGGATGTTTGAGATCCAGCACCTTAACCACCACACCACCTGCTGGCCCTCCATATTCATCCTCTTGGACAGAATTCTTTACTGCGGGGGGTGGGGGGGAGTGGTAATTTTGTCAGTTCCAAATCAGTCATAGGAAACCAGTGGTAATATTCTCTTCAAGGGTTATGGTTGGCATTAAATTAATGCATTCTTAGCCTTTGGTTTTGGTTCTTTTTTTTTTTTTTTTTTTTTAATCTTTTTAAGTATTTGACTTCCCCTTGTACTTTGTCTGGTTTTTGGCACTTTCCTAACCTTTGTTCCAATATCTTAGCTAATGAATAATGGCATTTGAGGCATAAAGCAATAATGTATCAGACTGTTGGAAAAATCACGATGCATTTTTGCATAGAAAAATACATCACGGTTTGCCGACGACCCAGTGGCCTGCTGATGGTGGCAGTGAATTGTTTGTGGTTATCCGGGCATGTGACTGCAGGGGCACACACCGCCAGCTCCCGTCTGGTCATGACGACCACACCCATGAGAAACGTAAGGGGTTTGGGGCCGGCAGGTGGCGTGGTGGTTAAAGTGCTGGACTCCCGCATGGCTGACCTCGGTTTGAGTCCCAGACCTGGAAGCTTGCTTTCTCACTTTCTCTCTCATTCTATCCCTCTATGGTCAAATAAAAATAAATAAATAAATGGATAAAGATAAATAAAATAATTAAAGAAAAAATTTTAAAAAAACCCCGAAACTTAAGGGATTTGAAATGATCATAAAAGGATTAATGATGTTACAAAACCAGGCACGTTCACCTTTGCATTCAGTTCGAACCCTGACTTGTCAATACTTAGGATACTCCGTGAGTTAGCGAGTCGTAGTTGTTCTTCCAGAATAGATAACAGGAAATTTCTGAGTCACCTTGACACCCACATGAAATTTTTTGAAGGAAGTCTACCTGTTGATTGATGGATTGATTTGAGTTTTTGTCATAGGGCACATACACTTGCGGGAGAAAGAGGGAAGGAGAAATTACTCCTCAGAGGGGCATGGACATGCCACCGTCCTTTCTCCTCCATGATCCTCTTGGGCGTACACATGTGCTCGTGCGCACACACACACACACACACACACACACACACACGGAGTGGTTTTCAAGCTGCCAGGTCTGGGACTCGAACCACGGTCAGCCGTGTTGGAGTTCAAGTCCATCTGAGATTCAAAGCACCATGCCACCTGCTGGTCCCTAGATGTTTTCTTTTAATAGTTCTAGAGATACACGCTTTCGACTTTTCTTTTCATCTTTTTCTTTCCTTTTTTACACCAGAGGGCACATGTGTGGCAGAGATAGAGAAAGCACCCATTGAAGGGGCCCGATCGTGCCCGTCCTTCCTTCCAATCTCCGTCCCGTTAATATTCTGGGCACCTGTGTGCATGTGCATGGTGTGTTACTGCCTACGCTGGGACTCGAACCCAGGTTGACCGCATGGAATCCGGCATCCCCTGCCCAGTTTGACTACTGCACTACAGGCCGGGCCCCTTTCTGGGTGTTTATTGGCAGATGTACACCTCTTGGCCTGCAGTTGGAAGAGCTGATACCAGTTAGAGCGAAAGAAAAATTGTGCTTGTGTTGTGTTTAGATTGATAAACGGGGAGTTATCAGGAGCAGACGGACTGCTAGACCTTGTACCACTTTCTGATGTGAACTGTTAGGGGTGTGTGTGTGTGTTTAATTAATTTTGCTTTTGTAAAATTATTACAATATTTATTATTGCCGGGTGCGTGTGCGTGCGTGCCCAAGATCCTGAGAGGAGAACGGAGGAGAAGGGATTGCGGCGTGGCCATCCCCCCTGGGGGGTGATTTCTCGCTTTCTGTCTCTCTGTCTCTCTCTGTCTGGCGAGCTCACGCGCCCTATAGCAAAAACCTCTCAAAAAAAAATTATTATTGTACATATTGTTACTGATTGGTTGGTCCTGTCTCCCTAATTCACTTAGGTCTGCTGGTTTGGATGAAGATTTAAAGCAGTTTTGAACTGAGATATTTTTGTAAAGCCCCGTCCTATCGACTGGTATATACCACATGTTCAATAAGTGAAAGCTATCATTACTTATATGTAAATAAAGGCACTAAGATAACTTGAAAAAAAAGAAAAAAAGATGTGAGAGCTTGAGTCCGAGTTAATTTCATTTTTAGGAATTATTTTATTTTGTTATTTTTTGTTATTATTATTTTAAATTTGGCCAGAAAGAGAGGGAAAACAGGACCACCAGGTCTAGGACTTGATCCGTGAGTGGCCACATGGGAGCCCAGTGCCTCAACCACCATGCTGAGTTAATTTTCTTCTCTTATTCTTTTTATGGGGGGAGAGATTTTTGCTATAGGGTGTGTGCACTTGCCAGAAAGAAAGCGAGAAATCACCCTTCCCCAGCGGGGATGGCCACGCCACAATTCCTTCTCCGTTCCCCTCTCGGGATTTTGGGCACCCACGCACACATGCCCAAGCCACCGGGTCTGGGATTCGAACCGCAGTCAAGACCTTGAGTGGAGAAACAGTATTCTTGCCTGTACTTGCCTTCCCTGGACTTGCATTTTTAATGTCTTGTAATCTCTCTATTTCTTCTGCTTGAACTTTTAGGGAAGTGGACATTTTCAAGTGCACAGAAAATGCACTTTATATAACTTTTTTGGGGGGGTACATTTAAAATACTGAATGGGATCCGACCGAGCCCTTTAATCTTGGCGTGGCTTTTTCCTCCTCCCCACCTCAGCCCCAGTGCATCGGCCGCTGCTCCCCGGGCCTGGGGATCTCTGTTCTGGTCACGGATTTTTGCAGCCGGGAAAGCTGTTTGAAGATTTGGTGCCATGTTAAGCAGAATGCAACTGGCTGTATTTCTGCATTCTCCCTGCTCTTAATCAAGTGGTTGTAACCTTAGCAAATTTCACTATGGTTAAAATATGTAATCCTTTGGGTTTTTTGGAACACCTTCCTCTGACCCTGATTTCTAAGCTAGTCTTCTTGCTAGAGAGAGTCCGGCTTTTTTTATTTTTTAATGAATTATTCAATTTAATTTTATTCATCATTATTATTTCTTTAATTTGACCAGAGAGAGACAGAGAAAGGGAAAGTGAGAAAGCAAGCCACCAGGTCTGGGACTTGAACCGCAGTCATCTGTGTAAGAGTCTAGCATCTTAACCAACATGCTACCTTCTGGCCCCAGTCCTTTTCCTTGTTTTTTTTTTTTTTGTTTAAACATGCCAGAGAGCATATTTGCTCACATGTATACTCTAGAGAGACAGAGAAGCAGAGAGAATTACTGCCATAGTCCCATCTCTGTTTCTCCCTCCTGTATGGATTTAGGGCACACCACACGCAGCGCCTGGTGTGTTTTTCAAGCCTCTAGAGCTGAGATTTGAACCACAGTCTGCCCTGTGGAATCCAGCACCCTTAACTATTTGAGAGAGACTTTTTTTAAATTCAACTTTATTAATTATTATTATTATTATTATTATTATTATTATTATTATGTGTTTTAATTTGACCAGAGAAAGACGGGAAGTGAGAAAGCAAGCTGCCAGGTCCAAGACTCGAACCACAGTCAGCCACGGACAGCCATGTAGGAGTCCAGCGTCTTTACTACCATGCCACCTGCCAGCCCCTTGAGAGAATTCCTAAAGCCCTGTGTGTTAGTGTAGTCACATAAAAGCTGTCCTGAGTTGTAGCAAGCGCTCTGATCTGGAATGTAGTGCCACAGTGTATCAGTGGTGGAAACTGTAGCAAGCGCTCTGATCTGGAATGTAGTGCCACAGTGTATCAGTGGTGGAAACTGTAGCAAATGCTCTGATCTGGAATGTAGTGCCACAGGCCACAGTGTATCAGTGGTGGAAATTATCCAATGGCCGCAGGCAGGGGACACCTGGGGGGGGGGCTAGTTTTCCTGTTACAACTACTCATCAAAGACTCTAATGATTTAAGAAGGAGGCCTGGCTATTTTAACCTGCCCTATAGCAAAAAACCAAAACAAAACACTCAAAAAA